TTTCAAGGGCATTGAGATGCATCATTAGGTTGTTTATTGGGGATCTTTCTGATTTTATGTAGGCACTCACAGCTATAAACTTTCCTCTTAGACCTGCCTTCATAGTGTCCCAGAGGCTCTGATATAGTGTATTGCTATTCTACGGAGTTTCAAATTTCTTCCTTGAATTCTTCTATTACCCATTCACAATTCAAAAGTGTATTGTTTAATCTCCATGTGATCATATAATTTCTGTAGGGTTTCATTGTGTTGATTTCTAATTTCATTCCATTATTTGATAAGATGCAAAAAATTATACTTTGTTTTTTACTAAGAGTTGCTTTGTGCCCTAAAATATGATCTATTTTTGAGAAGTTTCCATGAGCGGCTGAGAAGAAAGTGTATTCAGCAGTTGTTGGTGGAAATACTCTATACATATCTGTTATGTCCATTTGATTTATAATATTTTCAGATCCAAAGAATCTCTACCAAGTCTATGTCTGGATGACCTATCTAATGTGAGGTGTGTTGAAATCACCCAGTATTATTGTATTGGAGTCTATTTGAGGCTTCAATTTGGGTAGTCTCTTATATAATTAGTTGCACCTGCCTTTTGGGGCATAACTATTATATCTTGTTGGATTGTTCCATTTATGAATATAAAGTGATCTTTGTCTCTTCTGATTTATTTTGATTTGAAGTCTGCTTTGTTAGATATGAGGCTAGTTACTCCTGCTTGTTTTGGGGCTCCATTTGCATGGTATTTTAATTTCTGCCCTTTCACTTTCAGCCTGTGGCTGTCTTTGCCTTTAAGGGGCATCTCTTGCAAACAAAAATATAGTTGGATCTTGTTTTCTGTCAGCCTTTCCCCACCCCATTTCACAGATGGGGGAAATGGAGGTTCCCAGAGATGACTGTCTTGCTCAGCATCCCCTCTTAATTGGGAGAGTGGCTGGACAGTGCTCTGGCATCTGTAGGGATAGGCAGGATAGCAGGGCCCACATGTCTGGACACTAACATCTCTTCAGATGCCAGGTCACTCTGGGCTCTGTCTTCCTTCAATTTGTGATCAGCCCTGGGATTGGATCGAAGCTGGCCTGACTTTTCCCTAGGATGAGGTTTGAGAGTGGAAGCAAAGATGGCAAAGAGGCTTAGGAAAGGCTGGTCTTCAAAATCTGGGGAGAAAAAGGGCTTCCACTCCTGGGCCCCTGGGGTCATCGTCTCATCTTCTCTCTACCCCTGTGTCTGCCCATATTCCAGTGTCCCAGCTCGGCACCAGAGGGAGGCTGAGAAACTGTCTCTCTGCCTAGGAATTTAATTTTTATCTGGGCTTCCTGGCTATCCTCCGCCACAATAGTTCCCATCTAAAAATTTGCACATGTGCATTTTCTGGGCCCTGCCTTTCTTCCCCATTGGACTGAAACTCCATGAGGACAGAACCCTTACAGTGAGTGACAGAGATTCAGACTTCTTTTCAAGAAGGGACATGTAAACTATGGACTTAGATATGAATATATTTATTAGAGAGCGAGGGAAAGGGAGAGGGAGGAAAGGGCCAGGAAAGATGTATAGTCCCCAAATGAGAGAAGTTTGAGATGAATCCTGCTAGTTAGGAAAGTTGTACCTTGATGCACAACCATCCAACCCAAAACTTAATGGCTTAACATCTCATATGTTTGCTTGTGATTCTGCAATTTGGGGAGGCTACAGCGGGTACAGCTTTTTCTGTTCTGCCCAGTGTCAGTTGAGGTAAAGGGATTCACTTTCAAGGTGGTACACTAGGTTGTTGTAGTCTGTTGGCTGTTTTCATGTAGGCCTGCCCACAGAGCTGCATTGGGCTTCCTTGCAGCTTGGTGGCCAGGAGCCAAGAGACAGGGAGTAGAAGCTGACAGTCTCTTGAGGCAGGGTACTGGAAATTGGTATTGCATCACTTCTTCCTCCATATTATTCTACCGATTAAGGAGTCTCAGAGCTGAGATTCCAGGGGTTCTTGATAGGAGGAAGGTGTCAAAAGTGTTCAGATTATTTTTTAAAACCACTACAGAAGGCTTCCGGAAGGTGAGGAGTGGGCAGTTACCGCTCAGGTTTGGATGAAGTCTGTAAGCTCTGCACTGTGGCTAGAGCAGCCTTAGTCCATCTCAGGACCACTGAAGCTGCCTCCTGCCCACCCTGGAGAAGTCCTAGTTAGTGCCAGAAGTGGCCCCAGCAGCACTTCAGTCTAGTATGTGTTTCTGGGCCATTGCCCTCCCCATAAAGAAGTGGAATTTGTTCTCCCTTCCCTTGAAACTGGGTGAGCTTGGGACCTGAATGAATAGAATGTAGAAGGACTGATTCCATGTTTCTTCTGGGGGTAGGTCATAAAAAGTGCAAATTGCTTCCACCTAGCACTCAGATGTATGCTGCTCTTTTCTCCCCCTCCATACACAGCTTAGATATCTAAGTGAATAAACTACATCTCAGTTTTTGAGTCTTCCAAGGCCTCACAGAGCAGGATACCTGGGGGCCAATCATCCTCCTGTTCCCTGCCTGAGACCTTGACCCAAAGCATAATGAATGGTTGCATTAGTGCATGGAATAGTTTACTGTGCCGGCAAAATGAAACATAATATTGGGACCTCCACAACTCAGTCCCATGGGCAGGACGTGTCTGGTGGAGCCTCACTAGGGAGGAGTGTGGCCACTGAGCTTGTTACTTGCCAAGTATCAACAGGATCAGTGAGCGGGCACATGGGCGGAGGAAAGAGTTTGTGTGCATCTTTGGCAGGAGGGCCAGTGGGGCTGGAGCAAGGAGCAGTCTTTTCTCCTGAGGGCTGAGAGAAAACTCTTGGTCTGATCTTCTGATCTGCTTTTAGGTTAGTTGAGCTGGATAATTAGAAGAACAAGGTTACTGGCCAGACCTAACAAGTGGGACCAGGCCTCCTCTGCAGTGGAATGGGGGTGGGATCTGACCAAAATGTAGGGTGAACCAAGGACAGGGAGGCTGCATGTGGAGCTTGAACAGCTGGCTTAACAGATGAATGGGACAAAGCTGAGGAGGCAGGAGGTGGCACTGCCTGCATTAAGGGCCAAGAATGTCATTGACAGTTCCTCTTTACATCATGGCCTTTGCTGGCTGTGCCTCCCTTGGGAGCATTATGAGAGGCCACCTTGTAGCCCCATCCTCCGTTCAGTTATACCTTGTTCAATATCCCTTCATTTCTATGAGTCTGAGAGACATGGGAGGGTTTCCAGGCTACTTCCTGAACTACAGCCCATGAGTGTACTCCGCTGAGTCACCAGGGGTTTGATTCATCAAGTCCTCCATGGGGGCCAGCCCCCATTACAGCAGATGCTGGTGGGCAAGTGCAACTTATTTGGCAGTCATAATTCCACACTTCAACTACTTTGTAGCATTTTTTTTTTTTTTTTTTTTTTTTTTTTTAAGTGGGAGTCCCTGTCATCCCTATAGAGCAACAGCTGACTCGGGCTAGCCTAGCTCTTCCACCTGAAGCCTCGGGGCTCCCTTCAGGCTGGAAGGGATTTTTTTTCCCAGTGCTTTTTCCTTATATAGAAACATGTCTCTTCCACCCTTTCCTGGCAACTTGAGGGGTATTTTGTGTCTGAACACTCGTGTAACCTCACACTCTGAGGTTGTCCATTGGAATTTGCTGGAGGAGTGAGATAACGATGTCGAGTGGATCCTCTGGGTTGTGGAGCTGTCACTGTGTCCAGGGCCCTTTCCCTTCCTGTGAGAACTACCATCTCTCTCACAAACAGATGTGGCTCTCAGTGCAAAAGTTTCTGATGACACATATACATCCTCAAAAGGCTATGGATGCTGGCTGTGGCAGAGATAAGTTACAAAATAAAGGTGGAACTGTCAGTAGTTCTTCCTAGCAGGGCACTGTTGGCCATGGGTACTGCTCATTTATGGGAGTTGGCAACTAGGTGGTCTGGAACACAGAGGGGCTGTCCTGGCCCTGAGCTTAACCTTGCAGGGGAGCTGTGGGAAAACACCAGCACTGGCCTCAGGTGGTCAGTCCCAACCAGGGGTTAGGGCAGCTGCACTCACAACTGACCCCCAGCTTTCCGTCTAGAGCTGTGCCGGGTGATTGGTTCTCTCATTTCACACCAGGAGCAGCAGTTTCCTGGGACTCCAGCCAAGTCTACAGAGGGGGGTGCATATAGGGCAGGATGAACTGTAGCACATCAGTCTTGAGGAACGTGGGCAAGGTACCCTGGGCCCCATTCGGGGAGCATATGTGGTTGTCACTGGCCTGAGGAAGTTGGGGTAACCTTCACTAGCAGGAGCCTTCTGAGAGGTGGACCAGACCCTCCACAGAGCCTGCAGGGAGCTGTGGCACACAGGCAGGGAAAGTGTCCTGCAGTCTGGGGCTGGGCCCAAGCACCCATTCTTAGGAGCCACTGGCTTCCTGGCTCTACAAAGGTTCCTCCCCCAGCCTCCACCTTCCCTGGCTGTCCCTTAAGCATGCTCTCAGCACCATTCCTGTGTCTTTGCCCTGTGCTGAATGTTGGGCTAGTAGGACAAACTTGGTGCTGTGGGAGTGGGAAGGGGTGGTAGGCCTTTGGGGCGGCCCCCAAATGGCCTCTTGAATCAGCAGGCAAAGCAGGAGGATTGTCTCAAGAGTAGCCAGGCCTCTGGAGGGTGGGGGAGGGATGGCTGTGAATGGAAGGGGTCGGTCTCTACCCTGTCCAGAATCATCCTTAGCTGTCCTGCTTTTCTCTGTGCTACATGCTTTAAATCAGTTATCCCCTGTGAGCCTTTTCACCCCATGAAATGGGTGACTACTAGAATTTTCAGTTTGTAGATAAGGAATCCGAGGCCCAGGAGGTTAAGCAACTTGCCAGAGTTGGAGAGGATGGCAACTAGTGAGAGTCCTGGGTCTTCTCCAGGGGGTAGATGAGACTAAGATAGTGCTGAGGCTGTGTGACCTCTGCTTGGTGGCTGGACCATGTCCATACCTGCACTTGACCTCAATGTGTGTTCACCCCACCTGGAAAAAGTCAAGCTACACTGTCAGTTACACATTAGTCTTTTATTATAACCGTATTGAGTGGGATCACTTTGCCAAAAGGATAAATTGTTTCTTATATCAGTATGAGTTACAGCATAAAGATGGATGAGAAAAATGGTATGTATGCTGTAGAGGGCACTACTGGGAATTCTATAAATCAAGTGAATTATGCCACTGTGAGAAAAGTTATCATGACAACTTTTGATATCAACGTGGTCTCCAGCCTGCTTACATGAACTACTACCACACTAGAAGAAGCTACTGAAAGTTAACACCGACAAAGTGCTTTGGCCAGTGAGGAGGAGCCTGGCTGGCCAGTTGCTGTCCCTGTTCCTGCAGCCGCTTCTCCCTGCGCCAAGGCTCCCTGCTGCTCCTGCACTGAACACACAGGGTGTGTCTGCTGAGGAGGAGCAATGGAACCAGCCCTGCACTCACAGGATAGCCATTCAGCGAGCTGGAGACTTAAGTCCTTCATACATTCTCTTGTTCGGAATGACCCGTACGGGTGATTCTTAAAAAACAAAAATGATAACCTGTCATGCTGTCTCCTGATAAATTTGGATCAACTATAACTGTCAGATCTTTATGTCTACTCAGCATCTCTGACAAAGTAAAGGCAGTGTTCCTGCTAGTGGCAGGCACCCAGCTTCGTGGCAGCTTCCTCAGTGCTGCAAAGGACAGTGCCCTAGAGTCAGCCCAGTCACACATGAGAGGGCAGAGCACATTCCTTCTGCAGTGCTGTCCTTCTTTACAGATTGCAGTTGGCACTGAACATAAGCAGGAGTTCATCCTTGCAAGAATAATCGAGTATAGCTGAATGTTTAAAGTGTTATATGACCTTGGCATACATACAATATAAGGCAAAGTAAGCTGATTTTCTTCCTCTAGTCTGTAATGCACAGATAATTTTAATTCATTTCTCATTAGAGAGGAATGCATGAAACACATGGGGACATGTATAAAAAAAGTGGATGACAGCAGGAATTAAGCTAAGCTTAATGTATATAAAATGTAACTGCTAATAATCACAACATGCGAGGAATTCCACTGATTACCACAATTGTTAAAGAAAAACAAAAAGGTCTCATATGTTCAAGATTAAAAAAATATATAAATGTAAGTACCTGATAAAATAATAAAAAGGAACACATTCTTTAGCACTGTAACTAATAAAAAATGCAAATGATATTCACCAAAGAATAATAAAAAAAAAGTCACTTAGAAAAAAACACTACTCCTACATTGCTCTACCTCTGAACCTGTGGGGTGGGGTCTGAGGCTGGTGCTGCATTACAGGCTCCCCTCCTACGTTTCCTTTGAGAAGGGAGTGGGCTCACAGAGGCAGCACCTCCGAGTGCTCGTGTGGCACCAGCACAGAAGTACAGGATGGAGAGGACCCTCCCTTAGCATATGTACAGGGCTGAGAGTTTCTGGTAATGATTAAATGCCAAGCCAATGGCAGGGAACCTTCTTGGCTTGTGTGGGTGGCAGTGGCTCTTGTGTGGCCAGTGACACCCAGCTATCCCTCTATTTCCCAGGGCAAAGGAGATGTGGGAGTGAGCAGAGAACAATTCTGTACTTCCTAGAACTGAACTTCTGACACCTTCCCAAGTCCTTTCTGAGAAAGTGACCCCTGCACAGGTGTGAGGCTGCCCACTGCACAAAGACCTAGAGCTTACAAAGTGTCGCCACAGGGACGTGCCCCGGAACAGTTTACTCAGAGGTGCTGAGAGGACCAGACTCGGGTACCAGGGAGCTAACTGGTGCAACTGTTGAGCAGTTGCCCAGTCATGGAAGGATGGACACCCCAATGGCCAAACCAGTCATTAACCTCACATTGCTGGTGAGAGGGGATTTCTGTTAATTAAGAGCAAATTGTAGAGCTAATTAGAACCACCTCTGCAGTAGCTGACTTCAGAGTCATCACCATTTTCTTAGAGATCGAGTGGGAAATCATGTCATTATCACATTTGTCTGTAGAGAAATATACGGTTATCAGTGGGAAGGACATAAATGGAGTCTTCTTTTAGACTTTGCCACTGCCCCTGCCATCTTCTGAGGAGAGCCAGGCCTCCCCGCAAGGGCTGCTCAAAACAGGTCCCATGTCCATCTGCAGTCCCTACTTGTCCCTGGCAGAGGTGTCCTTCTTGGGTCCTTTTCGTTTACAGAGAGAAACAGCTTAGGTGATGCTGTGTGTTCCTAAACTGCCAGCTGAGGGAGGTGGTCTCCAATCTGTGTTGAAGCCCAGGAAAGTACCAGTATGTCAGACCTGGACTTGGTGGTGGTGCCCAGGACACAGGAGTTCATAGCTGAGCACAGGCCCTGCAATTCCTTCCTCCCTCCCAGGGAGGGAACATCCCAGCACCTGGAATGATCTCTAGGAAGCCCTGCTCCCTAGAGAAAGGACTCCAGGTCCAATTCCCTGTCACTGCTACCATAAGGCCACTAAGGGGTTCTGACTCTAGATAGGAATAAACAAGGCTTTCCCCCTTCTCAGTAAAATACAGCTCTGAAACCAGAGACACTTTGACTGAAAGATGTGTATCCCTTAGAGTCAGGGTCACTTTTTTTTTTCTTCAATTCAAGGATAGTAATACTCTTGCAACTTATGAAGTCAGTATAGTAAAGATAGCTTTAAGTGATCTTGTTTTCTGTAAAAGATTCTAAAAAGTGAAATACAATTATTTAAGGAGGAACTATAAGGCCAAAATCTATTTAGCCTGAGGATTTTAAATGTCTTCTTTAACAAATCAAAAGAATCTTAAATCACACCATACCTCCAAACAACTTTTAACTTTAGACCCAGTTTCTAGAAATCATAATTTTGAGAGGTCAGTAATTGAGTAATGGGTTTTTCCATGTCCTGGAATCCCTTGTTCTAGTTCATTCTATTGCACTTGGCTCTGCTATATGGCTTCCCTAGGTAGGAACTAAGTAATATGAGACAGATTTCTACAGAGAAAGCACTCTCGATATCGACTGCTTTCCCGGTGGCTGACGCTTTGAGGGAGGGAAGCTGTCCACCTCCTCCTAAAGTAACTGATGGCACTGTCAGACACTCTCAGTTGGGGAGGAGAAGATGGGGAAAAGTGGTTCTGATTGTGGCTTGGTCTTTTCTCAGAGTATGGTTCTGGGTACTTAGTCTGGCTCTAATTCAGAGCAAGAATTGGGGTAGGGTCAGGTAAGGGCTCAGAAAGTCCTGTCTGCATTTTTGTGAACATAGGTGTATTTGCTTCTTTCTAAAGGGTTCCAATGGGCTGTACCAATGCCAAATGCATGCTGGGGAAGCAGCACTGGTTTCAGAGGGGTCTCCCCTAGGGAGGCCCCTGAGGGGGAGACTGGGTCCCTGTGGTCAGATGTCCAGGGGGCTCACGATGGTGAAGCCAGAGTCCTTGCTGCTGTCGTCATCAGGGCTGGAGCTGGGGTTGCTGGAGGATGCTGAGGCTGGGCCCATCAGGGGATCTGAGAACACCAGAGGAGAGCAGGCCAGGGTCCGGCTTTTCCCAGATGTGCTTTTGAGGGTGCGAAGAGGCTGAGCCTGACCTGAGAAGTGTCCCTTGGCACTGCCCCCCTCATCTTCTTTTGAAACCAGGATGAAGTCATCAGAGCCCCCTCTGTCTGGGAGCCCAGGAGTTTCTGCAGAAGCCTGTGAAATAGAGAACAGGTGGATGAAAAGAGAAACTAGCCAAGAACAGGGCAGCAGGCCTTCATGAAAAGCCAGGGTACCTTGCCCCAAGCTCTGCCTGGTTCTCTGCTCTGGAGCCTGGGCACTTAGCAGCAATACAGGGTCATGAGCATGTTGCAGAGCCCCCAAAGCAGAGTGCTGGCTTTCCTGGGTTCAAAAACAAAAAAACCCCCCAACTTTCTCCTCGATAGGCTGCCTGGGATCAAGGGCAGCCCTACCATATCATGTGGGACCTGAGTGCAAATCTCTTGGTCCTCCTTAAACTTCAATTCTCTCATCTGTGAAATGCTGATAAGGACGCTGTCTTTCTCGAAGTGTGTGTATGGGGTCACAGTGAAGCAAGGTGATGTTTGCAGATGCAAACCTACCAAGACTGCTCCTTAATGGGAGCTGCCACATTTGGAGTGGCTTGACTACCACCTGCTGCTTCTTTCCTCATACATTCCTGTGATAGCTCCTTGAGGGTATGCATGTCAGTGACTCCTGAGGCGATGGTGGTAGGTTCTATAAATAGGAAAACCCAAGAATGGCAAGCAAGTGCCAGGTGAAATGCCAAAGATACAGAGAGAATCACTTTAGTCTACAATTATCTTCCTCTTTAAGATTTAAAAAAAAAAAAAAGCCACTCATAATTGCTGAACTAATCCATGAACACAGATAGAGGTTTTGGGTTAGCAAAGCTATAATTTGACCAAGGTTGTCCAATGCTAGCTAGCAGAAAAAGCACCTACCTTGTCTAGGGTGGTGTACATTGACACAGTACCCATGCCTGCCTACTCACCCACAGCATGGGTGGAAATTAGTGCAGGGTCTGAAGAGATACATGGAGCCCCTTGGCTGGAGGTGCCCCCGGGGCCTCCTGATTGCTGCAGCCTAGGCCAACCCTGAGTTGTGCAGAGCCTGGAGAGGGAGTTAGCAGCACTTACTGTCAGGTCTCTTTTCAAATTTCATGTCTTCCTCAGTAATGTAGGGGGCGAGTGGTTAGATAATGAGCCAGGGGTCTCCCATCTCTGACACTCATCGCCCTGTGAGGCAGTCAGCTCAGGAAGGAGCTTAAGCAATCTGCCTTAAAATCGCAGCAGGCCCTCCTGTTCCCCACTTCTAACTCTCAGGCTAATGACATTCTGCAAACACATCCATTCCTATAAAGAGAAGCAGCATGTGATATAATGGGAGAAAGGGACATGATTGAAAATGACACTCGCATAGAAATGTTTGATAAAGACTGTTCTTTTTCCTGAGTTAGAGGGAAGGACATCAAATCTCATCCCCATTTACTATCCTGTGTATAGGGCATTGGCGAGAACGTTGCTGCCCTAGAGTGGCATTCCTCCTGCATACATCTTACTTTAAGCACCCAAGGCCACAGGAAATCAGCGCGAGGCCACAAGTCTAGCCTCCTACTCTCACAGTGGACACTTTGTATGACTGGGTCCTGCACGTACATCACGAGAACCTTGAATTCTTGTAAAATGGGTTTCTGGCTGGAATGCTATTTGGTAGAGCTTGTCTTAGGGTGGAAATGAAAGAGCATGTACAGTACATCCTACTTCTCAAGTGGTACTGCTATTATAGGGATAGCATGATCACCTACAGTGGAGACAGCAGAAAGGCTTTGAAGAGGGGGGATACTTTTCAAAGCCCTTCCTTGGAAGTAAAGATGGTTCTTCCCATTCTTCTGATTATTTGGCTTGTTTCTTCCCAGGTCCCAGATACAGGTCGTAGACTGGCTTACACAATGCAAGTTGTCTGACAGGGCCTTGATGATCCCTAGTCTTTTAATTTTTTTTTAATCCTTCTTTCTGCCTTTAATATTACAGATCAAGAAAGGGGCCTTGGCTTGGCCAATATCACAAAGCAACTTAAAGGCCTCCACTCCATTGCATTACTTCCAGTTTTTTTTTTTTTTTTTTTTTTAAATCTAGACACCAAGATGGATTCCTCATGGCTTTCCATAGTGGTCTTTACTACAGAGCAAGCCTTCAAAGTTCCTACTTGGGAGCTGGTTCGTGAAGCCCAAGTTTTTATCTTAATGTTATAGACATTTGGAGTTCAGTTATTGGGTCACTGGGAATTCTAGTGTTCAGTGCCCACATGTGGCTAGGAGCTGCTATTTTGTATAGCACAGATAGGCAACATTCCATCATTAGGAGACATCCTATAGGCTTCTACCCTAATCCTGATTTCACACTATAAAATAAAAAGGATCAAGGGAATAGGGAACCATGTGTTGTGGTCCTGGCCAGTTTTAGGTAGGACCAACAGGTTGAAGAATTTTTCTAATTGTATAGTACCTACCTGTTACCCTTGAGATGGCATGTTCCTGACTATAGCCAGCATTCCCTGCCTCTACTCAAAAGCCCTGAGAAGGAAAGTACAGATGACTCTTAGCTTATAGTGCAGGCTCATGCAGGAAGAAGGTGGGTCAAGGTTTCCTGCCTGGGAGACCCCTGATCAATCTTCTCCAGATCCTTGTGCTTTGCTGCAGAAGGCCCCATGGACTTTTTTTTTTTTTTTTCCTGATTTGCTTGTGTCTAAGATTTTCTTGCCTCTCTTCCTGATCCTACAAGTTTTCAGTTACAGGAGGCCAGGGAGCAGTGTTAGGATCTTGAGATATTTTCTGGTGATGGGCTGTACCAAAGATGGAATGACTTTGTTGTCTTGGTCAAAATTATGTCTAAGGAGAATGCTTCCCTGTTCTCCTTTCTCTGGTCAAATCGTTTCAGGAGCACTAGTTCTTAATAAGCTGCTAAATATCACAGGGAAAGGGCCACAAGGGGACCAGGTAGAGAAGCTCTTCTCTTTCACTTGGGGGATCTTTAGGTCCAGGAAGGGCCATCTCAGCAGCAGGTACAGACGAGAAGTATCTCTTGGATGCTGCACCCAGGTGAGGCCCTGCCAGAGCGAGGGTGTAGGGCACTTCCTCTCATATATCTCAGCTGGTTCATCTTGGGGATGCATGTGGGGTCCAGTACCTGTGCTTACAGAGGTGAAGTTGCTATTTTCCCCTGATGACTGCCACCATCTTCCAAATTCTTTGTTGCCCTTTGGAGAGGACCATGAGGAACTAGCCCAAACTGCCCAGTCCCTCTTTAGAGGTGACCTAATATAACCTTGCCCATTACAATCTTGCTAAATTCTCTGCCCCGAGGGGTTCTTGCCTGCCATATTAAATGTGCAACACAGAAAGAAGCATGGTCTGTGTGTGTACACATGTGATGACAAGTGCAGGTTTCTGTCTCCCCAGTAAAATACCCTACTTCCTTTGCCTAGAGAGCTACTGCTCTGGGATCCACCCAGTGTTCGCCTTACCTGCTCAAGTGAGAAGCCTTTCTTCACTCTGATCTCCTGTTGTACCTGCTGCCATCCTGGCTGACTCAGCTTCTCTGAACATTTTGTTTGCAAGTTCTCCCCAGCTTGGTCAGTAGTACCAGACTCTTGAGTTGGCTAACAAATTTGTAGTAATAGAGTTCAGGAGACCCTTAGTCAGGCAAGCTCACACAAAGGTCAGCTAGAGCTCAGTCCAGGCTGAAGGGGAGGTTGGTAGGGGATGCCTGAATACAGAAAGCTTCAGTACAGAATCCTTGGAAGATCTACAGCAAGGCAAAAAGAAATCAAATCCTAGAGCTCCAGAGGGAGCTATGGCTTTTTGATATCCTGAAACACCTGCTCCCAGTTTTATAATTTTACAGTTTCAATGCTCTGAAGTCCTTTAACAGTGGACTAAGTTAAATTATTCCAGGTAAAGATTTGTGGGATCTGCATTCAGAACAACCATTTCAGACAGCCCGTGAGGGTGTTTCCATCACTGATGGATGTCTGGTTATTTGTCAGTGACTAAGAAACATGGTCTTTGGCCACAATACATTTCTCTTGTGTGACCAGGAGAAAGGTCTTGAGGATGGGTTCCTAAATTGCAATAGTATTTTGCAACTAGATCTGTAAGAGGAAAGAAAAGTGGTATGAAGTTCCCTATGGACAGTGCTTTATGGCCTTATATCACAGTCTTCTTTGACTAAAAAGAGAATAGTCCTCTACCCTCCTGAGCCTCAACCCCCTTGTCTGGAGGACTCTCCCAGGGCCTCTGCACCTAGCTCATCCTCAAACCTATAAACCCACCTCTTCCTGATGGCAACATTAGACATGGGACCAATTACAAACCAGGAAATGGAGTTTTTTCCCTCTAATGTATGTACAAGTACCTTTCATCACTAGCCTTTATAACTGGAAGGCACATGGCCAAGGTCTGAGGCTGACCCAGGAAGGTTTGTCACTCTCATAAGAGGTTATGGGTTGTGAAGATACCCCTTATGGGTGGATATTCAACTCTAACCGGAGAAGAAAAGTTGGCTGTGCTAGCAGAGGCAAGAAAGCAAGCCAGTAAGCAGCAAGCTAGGGGGCTGGACAGCCAGTTCTGGAGTCCTTCCTAACCCCAACACAGTTGCAGAGTGAGTCAGAGTGGAGCACTAGGGGTGCCAGAAGCTGGCTGACGCCTAGTTAATTGGAGAAACTGAGGGAAATTCAGCAGAGGCCAGATGAAAGGCTTTCATGCGGAGGGTGGAAAGAATGTCTTCAGAGACACATCCCATGGATTTCTGAGGGGGGACAGTAGCCAGACAGTGCTTGGAACCTACTTCATATCTCAGGGTATTCCTGATGTCTGGAGAAAACTTCCAAAATCAAATGTGGGTCCAGAAACTAACTCTCCTCAACTTGTGAATATTGCCTTCAAGGTTTTCAACAACAAATAAGGCTATAAGAAGATGAAGAAGCAGGGTGCCCTCCAGGTAACCCTGAGGGAAGAAAGAAGTCACTGTGGGTAAGTCTCCCTTTCCTCCAACACGAGACATGCTGTCCACCAGCAAAGCTGGGACTGAAGTAGTGTGCATTTTGCAAATTGGAGGGATATTGAAGAGGGAATACCCAAACTGTCTCATGAGGGTAGGGGACAAACCCAACTG